CCTGGAAGACACATTCCATTAGGAACACGTGGCGACAGCAATGTTTGGACGGCAGGGGAAGTCCCCCAATCCACGGGTGTACATTATCGCATTTCTTTATTTAATTACTATCATGCTGAGTCACATCAATTAGCAGGTGACGTATGAGAAAGAACTACAACAACTAGGATCCAGACTGGCCAGTTTTTAAGCTAGTCTTTCAATTTCCAATTCACTGTACAAATGCGGCCACCGAGCTCTGATACAATGGATTGCAAGGTCACAGCACATTGCAATACTGAATGATAAAACTTACAATATAACGTAAACATCATACCTTGTCGCATGTGAGCCGCATTTCTTTCTGTGTACACTAGTCACTGTTTTATGATACCGCTTACAGGCATTTGGGTATTCATTAGATAAACGAAGTTCTCGTTACAGAAGAGTCAGTTAAAGTATACAAGATCCTGGTCTATGTCCACATTTCCCTTTTCACATGCTAACCTTCCTAGTCGCTCAGCACAGTACCGACTACCGCTTCCAAGTTTAAGTTTAGTTTCGTCCTTGATTTACCACCAAGTTTAGTTTAGTCCTTTATTTACCACCCTGGCTAACTGCACAGGCGCGGGCAAGTTGGTAACATTTGAATACAATGGTCAAAGCATATATAATAGTATAAGGCGGTAAATCTAAGATCAATAAAATTATTACGGTGGTCTAAAATGATGAGTGTCGATTGTGTGAAATGATAGAAAAGAAACAAGTATTATCTACTCGTATCTATGCGATGCCGGGGCATACGCTTGGCGTGGAAATCGGCGGATCACGAAGTTGTTAACTGTGATTTGAGAAGTTGTTGGCGGGTGAAGATATCGCAGAGTTTACGGAGAAAATTCTTCACCCTCGTGTTCCCTTCTACCTTGCGTCAGTTGAGGTCTCTGACGTCCCACCCGCGTCTAGAATTGTCCCTTTAGAAAAAAGTCATATAAAGTAATCATGAAGAATATGACTATTGCTGTGGAATCCTTCATTGTTTTTAAGTGGGATTTATGGATGGCTGGTACCTGAGATGCCTGCCCAAGTTTCCTCGGAAATTCGCGATGCGTTCCGCTTCGCACAAAGGCAGCGAACGACAAACTCATCCCGTCATTTTAATGGTTCTCCGAGTGATATATCATCTTCCAGCATCGTGTGTCAATGAGAGTTCTTCGGAATATGCAAGTTGGAGATTTTAACTGCATTATCATCACGTAGTCGGGATGGAATCTTGAAGCTTACAATGTCATGTCACACAAACACAGTCAACACGATCACACACACACAACAGCACACACACCCACCACATGTTGAAAGTTACTTGGTTACCACAGAAGACAAAAGATGATCACTTTATCCAGTTTCACATCAATGAGGATATCAGTGCGGATTCCTATGAGCAGCGTCTTCTGACACGACGAATCTGTGTCAATTTCCTGCGCTAGCTCGAAGTACGAAGTCCATCAGGGTGGTCAAGGACACAGCCCTGTGTAAACTTAATTCATTCGGGCCGGGCAGCACGTTAAAAAATACAATATAGTATATATACACCACTGTGTTTGTAACTGTTACACGTGACAGCTGTACATACATACATACATACGCATAAATACATAATATATGTAATCTTTTCATAAGTTTCATATTCCGTTTATGTTCCTTTTAACTTATAGTAAAACATATTACATCATCACCAAGAGGACCTAACCGTAAACAAAACAACTATACACATCAGGGTTTCCATCTCGTCTTGAAACATTACGGTATAATGTGAGGCACTAACACCGCGATTTGCAAAGACATATTCATTGGCTACAACTTCAGAGCATCTTCTCCCGACAGCGAGCTAAGGAACCCGCCACGTAAGAGAGAAAACGGGATTTTTTGGTGAACGAGAGAAAACGGGGCTTCACGAGGGGTCACGTATTGATCACAGGCAAAGGAACGGATCTCTCAGGCAGACCAAGTTAAACATGTACGATACCATAACCTCGTCTGATAAATTGTTCAACAACCATCATACAAGATAAAAAAAAAAGAAAAACGGTAAAAGATAAGCGCCAGTCAAAACAGCAATTTCTTTTTACTAAAAACTACAAGGCACCCTATCAAAGGCAGATCTGACATCTCTACCAAGGAAGGTACAACGAGGAGAAGAGTTCATGAGAGGGAGAAGAAAAAGAGGGAGGAGTGCATAAGGAGAGGGAGAGGGAGAGGAGAGGGAGAGGGAGAGGGGAAGAGAGGGAGAGAGAAGAGAGAGAGAGAGAGAGAGAGAGAGAGAGGAGAGAGAGAGAGAGAAGAGTAGGAGGAGAGAGGAGAGAGAGAGAGAGGAGGGAGAGAAGAGAGAGTAGAGAGACGCCGAAGTTAGCACGAGTAAAGTTAAGGCAATTGGTGTGTGTTGTGTGTGTGTGTGTGGTGTGTGTGTGTGTGTGTGTGTGGTGTGTGTGTGTGTGTGTGTGTGTGTTGTGTGTGTGTGTGTCGGTGGTGTGTGTGTGCGTAGAGATAAGCACGAGAGAGAGAGAGAGAGTAGAGAGAGAGGACGAGAGATGGAGAGTGAAGAGAGAGGAGTGAGAAGAGAGAGAGAGGAGAGGAGAGAGAGAGAGAGAGTTGATAGAGAGAGGGCAGAAAGCGAGAGAAAGAGAAGAGAGAGAAAGAAGAGGCATGAGCGGAGAGAACGAGGAGAAGCATGACGGAGTATAACAGGATAAAAGAGGAAAAGACATGAGTGAGAGAGAGAAAGAGAGAGAGAGAAGAGAGAGAGAGAGAGAGGAGCGAGAGAGAGAGAGAGACGAGAGAGAAGAGCGGAGAGTAGGAGAGGAAGAGAGAGAGAGTGAAGAGAGAGAGAGAGAGAATAAGAGAGATGTAGAGAGGGATGAGAGAGAGAGAGAAGAGATAAGAGGAGAGGAGAGAGAAAGCGAGAAAGAGAGAGAGAGAAAAGCGAGAAAAGAAGAGAGAGAAAAGCGAGAAAGAGAAGAGGAGGGAGAGAAAGCGAAGAGAGAGAGAGAAAAGCAGTATGATGAGAAGAGTATTGGACTGAGAAGAAAACAGAAAGAGAATGACAGTAAGAGAGAGAGAAGAGAGGGCTGGAGGAGTGAAGTCTCCCACAAGCGCGCAAATGTGCTCCCGCGACCCATATATCGCGCTCGTGCATTCCCTCTAACGTCTTCCCCTCCTCTCCTCAAACACGAAGTCACCTCTCTTGCTTCCTCTGATCTGCCTTCCCACTTCCCCTCCCTTCTCGCTTCCCCTCTGACCGTCAAAACACCATTTTCCTAACAAGTGGGCCGTCGCTAGGGCTCACATATCCTAACCTTGTCCATATCCCTTAAAAAGATAATAATAAAAATAAATTACACACTAAATAAATTAAAGAAGTAACAATAACAAAGGTCGTTGAGTATGAGCGAGAGTTGTGATTCCGTGCCATTTTTGGACACGCCCCTTTTCCGTCTTAACTACCCCTGTTACCTTCAATTATCTAGCTTCTTCACTTAAAACCGTTCCTCTCCCCTTCCGTTATTGATTAAGAGGGGGTAGCGCAGAGTCCGGTAGGGAGAGAAGGCAAGGAACTGAGAACGAAGAGATATACAGATGAGGGAAAGACGGAGGAAAAAAAGATGAAAGACCTCTTGTGATGGCATCAAAAGGCGTATAAAAACGCCTTAGGAAGGCGCGGCACGGTGAGGAAACGGAGCCAAAGAAGGTGAAAAACCGAGTTAAAAAGGTAAGAAAACGGAGCCATAGAAGGTGAGAAAATGGAGTCAAAAAGGGTAAGAAAGAGGAACCAAAAAGGGTAAGAAAACGGAGCCTTAGAAGGTGAGAAAATGGAGCTAAAAAAAGGGATGAAATGGGAACCAAAAAGGGGAAGAAAAAGGAGTCATAGAAGGTGAAAAAATGGTGTCAAATTGGGTAAGAAAACGGAACCATAGAAGGTAAGAAAATGGAGCCAAAAAAGTAAGAAAACGGAGTAAAAAAGCTGAGAAAAGGGAACCAACAAAGGTAAGAAAAAAGAGCAAATGTGAGAAAATAGAGCCACAAAAAGTAAGAAAACGGAAGGCCGAAGAAACATAAGTAAAAAAGGAGGCCGAAAAAAAAAAAAAAAAGGTTAAAGAAAAAAAAAGAGGAGCCTAAGAAGGTAAGAAAATGGAGCCCAAAAAGTAAGAAAACGGAGTCAAAAAGGTAAGGAAATGGAACCACAAACGGCGGTAAGAAAAAGGAGCCAAAGGAACGAAATAAAACGGAGCCAAAGAAGGTACGAAAACGGAAACGCATCGACGCACACCGGCCTAGTTTCCCCTCTTCTCCCGCGCGCCCAAACTTCGATCACACAACACGCGTCAAACGGTAAACTGCTCAGCTATTCTGAACAAGGGCTGTTGTTCAGCGGGGTCTCGGGCCCACGTGCAGTACTTGACAGGTATCCAAGGGATTCTAGGAACGAGTGTGCGGGATGTTCTCGTCGCTCCAACTGAGGTGGATAAAATGGCTTCATCTCGACGTGTTCCGAAACTGCATATTTGTTTAGCGTGTTATCGTTACGGTCGAGAAAGACAAGTGCCGCGGAGAGATTATATGAAGGTGTTGCATTTACTCCCCTTTTTCATTTACACACCATATTCCGTACACACTTGTCTATATGTGCAAACATACACGCATGCATACACACATAAGCAATACGTATAATTTCCTCGCCTCTCATTCTCGTTATTCTATGCATTTCCCTCTTGCATTCGAGCCTCCTTTTAGCTTTACCTTTTTCCACCGGCTTCTCCGTCCTCCCGTCTGAGTTCCTCCTACTCTGCCTCTCTTCTCTCCTCTTTCTCTCCTCCCTTCTCCTCTCCTCTCTCGCATCTCTTATCTCTCGTCTCCTCTCTCTTCTCCGTCCTCTCTCTGCTCTCTTTCCTTTCCTCTCCTTCCTCTCTCTCCTCTCTCTCCTCCTCTCTCTTCTCTCTTCCTCCCTTTGGCTCCCCTCCCCCACCCGC